GCTCATGACATGCGTTAATCAGGCTTCGCAGAGTCCGCGCGTCTCCACGGTTGCTATCTAATGTAGGATACACATCTAGAAGAAGGCTTTCACACTTCATCAGTCGCTGTGCCCTATCCCACCACCAACTGGCTGAGAAGTCGGGACGGGCGATTGTTTCGTGGAATAGGGAGGAGAGAGTGAAGATAACATCGGAGAATACATCCTCGCAGCATAATAATCGCGACGGGTTAGGTAAGATCGCAGTTGGTAGCCAGACATTATACGCTGATACTGTCGACGTACGTACTTGTTATCAGTAGGTGTGCTTACCTTGCCTAGGGAACTCGTTATCAAAAGGTGTGCTCTTACTGAGTTAGGCAGGTCGCCCGTTTCGGTCAGGTTGTTGGGTTTAGTGGGGGTTAGGGTTAGGCGTAGGTTAAGTTTGAGGATTAGGGTCAGCATGATAGGGTTAGGGTTTGGGGTCCCGCTAGGGTTACAGTTAAGGTGAGGGTTAGGGTCAAGGTTAGGATTAGGGTTATGGCTAGGTTGTGGGTTAGCGTTGAGATTTAGGATTTTGGTTACGTTTCGGTTGTGAGACTTAGGGTTAGGCTTTACGGTTGCGGTCAGGGTTGGATTTTATGGCCAGGGGCAGGTTTTAAATTTCTGCCATTATTCCACCTACTTAACACTTTCCAGCACTTTCCCTGGTAACTTTACTTTTTCGCAGACACTCCAGCATCCCTCTACCAGCCCTCCATTTACCCGACCCATATAACCCCCTTTCCAACCATTCCTGTACGACAGGAACCTGGCTGTCCGCCTCCCCATTCCTGACTACCAACTGCGATCTAACCACAGGTTAATAGTCACGACTTGGAAGGTTCCCACTTGACAGGATAACGCGGTCTTCTGAGGACTGTGAATCAGGCTGTGATCTTTCATTCTTAATGCAGCCTGTTTGGCATTCTCGCGCATGTAATCAGTACTTTGCGCCAAATTCGGAGTGACTGATTGGAGGGCTATGGGGCGCACTCAACGATCTTTTCTTTATATGGCCTCTACGTCACTCTCACTGATGTGGGATTCTAGCCGTCCCTGTGAAGATCTGGTACATGCTGCAGAGATCAGGTCGTGTGTGGAGGGCGTAAACGGGGTGTTTAGTTTTATCAGCTCCTGCTCGCCTCCAGCCGCCTTGACGCTCTCTTCCCCTCGGCTAAGGGTAAATAAAGGAGGAGCGGGTGCGGCAGGTGCTACACAAGTCCGCCTCACAACGAACTAGTTCGTGCGCAGACCGCACACTCAGAGGACACATAGGGGGCGTTGAAGCTCTCGACAGCCGAGCTGCTGGCAGATAAATTGACATTAGATTTGTCTCCTTATTTATGCCTTTTTATATTCGGCTACGACAACGGTATGGAGATGGAGCCCACTCAACTGACGGCAGACTGTGGATCACGTCATAGGGGCTTTCATCTTGGCATCAATTCGCGGGCCTTTGCAGACATTTCACCGCCAATAACAATCACTTCCCCTGACTTCAGGCCATCACGCAAATCCCTTTAATTGTTGAAATTTACTTTTTGTTCATTTTTAATTACTGCGCTCATTTCCGTCGTCGTACGAAAGCGTACGATGAGTCTTTCAGGCGAAATCTAGACGGTTTCTGTGCCTGCCTGCATTTAGTCAGCTTGCTGTCTAGATCGCTGCCACACCCGTAAAACTGTCCTTATCACCGATCACGTATGACGTGATCCACAGTCTTCCGTTAGTTAAGTGGGCTCCTTCTCCATACCGTTGCCTTCGGCTACAATTTAATAAATATTCATAGACGGAGGGCATAGTATTTTCTGGAGTTTGTTTTTTCCAGATATCATACTTTTACGGACATGCTGCATTTCCAAATGTCTCTCATAATCCATCGTTGCCTAGTAGGAGACTTATGTCTTAGGAAACTACAAATCTTCTGCCTGTTTGTGACACTTTGAAAAATAAATTATCCGCGTATTCAACACCATATTTGCTAATAATTATTTAGATATGCAGAATATGAAAAAGAGAAAAGTTAGAAAACAACATTCCTTCCTTCGGCGGCTTTTTTACAATACTAACTCAAAATAAGGGCATAAAAAAGCGGACATACAGGAAGACCGAGGCCCATTAAAAATCGCTTGGACTAATCGATAGAGCGTTGTCTTACTCAGAAAAATGCCCGGGTACGACCACGCGACCTTCAAACTTTTCCTTCCCGCCACTTATCAATTGATGCAAAAATAAAAATTACTACTGTCGGGTCACGTCAAACCAGTCCTTCCCTTCAACGAAACAGAATTAGCTACAGCCGTCGAAGAATCAATCACTAGAAGTTTTCATATCCTAAAGATCAATTCTAACGTCAAAGCTATTCTCGAGCACGCATAAATGGCGTGTTTGAGTACTCGCTCGTGAGAGCCGTGGGTAGGATCGACTTATATGACCCCCTAAACAGGACATGATAACCGGAACCGCCCGCAGTAAGGGTGGGTTTGAGCCAACTCCCAGTGAAATTATGGTTAGATTTAAGGTTGGGATTAGGTTAAAGATTAGGTTTAAGGTTACATTTGAAGTCAACGGTAAGGTAAGTCAGGATCGAGTTTAGGGTTAAGATGGGAGCTAGTAATAACTCAAGAGTTAGGGTTTGGTGTAGGGTTGGGGTCAAGATTAGGGCAAAGGCAGCATGTTATTACCGACAAAGACAAGGGAGACTGGAATGGCCATTTCTGGCTTATTAGCCGTCGTCAGCCAGTCATACCCAAACCCGAAATGTGGAACACCCGAGGCTTTGTCGGTAATAACATACTGTCTATATAATGCGCCGCTGTGCGGCTGCTGTTTGGGCCCGAGAGAGAGAGCCCGTAAGGCACAACGCAACGAGTGAGTTCCATTAGAACGATCGGTGAGCGCCCCCTACCATAAGGGCAAAGGTTTAGTTTTATAGTAGGATTATTGACGGGGTAAGGACACGTGAATACTTTGCTTTTCCCGGAATTCTGCGCAGGTCCACTCTTATAACTTGGGCGAGGCGTTCCTATTCCCATGTATTGTTTAAAGGGCCATATAAGTCAGTCCTACCGGGTCGTACAACGTGGATACTACCGAGGCAAGTTGATACACTGTCGCATGGTCCCATGTCATCCTTGCTCATTAACCTGAGTCAGCCTTGCCTACTCAAGCCATTTGGCTCAATGACCAATCAAATATGATGAGTAAATTTGGTCCAATTTGCGTCGGCGCCAAAGTCGCCCCCGATAGGTGCTCAAAGAAAGTTGGTGGGAAGCTGAAATTCCCGCAACTTCGGCATAAGGTGGCGCTGCAGGTTGCTTAACTCAGAGAACTATCTACTTCTAAGGCGCAGAGCATGACCTTGCAGACGGAGAGCCTTTCTAGACAGGAAGTCCGCGGAAACCATCCGGCTTGCTGATTTGCCGGCCGCGTGCTAGGTTCTTCTTGAGCCATCTCGCAAGCGTCTCTGATTGGATGAAATAGCCTGTAATACGACTGTTTTGCGGCTGCTGGATAGTTTCCTGTAGAAGATCAAAGGACTCACATTGGCAAAACCCCTTGTCACGAATAACACACTATCTGAACAATACACTCATAAAATTACGATTAGGGTAAAATATAGACATCATCATTCTGTTCCAAACGGGAGTGGTATAGAACGAAAATGGTATATCATAACATTCTGAATTTTCTGAAAGGACCGTTCAAATTTGGCTCATAGCTGTTGTGATGACTGCTCTACCGACCCAAACAGCGCTAAATTGTCATTTTTATGAGAGTACTGAGGAAAATACTGAGCATGGCGGATTAAAAATCAAATGCTGCGAGAAGTGGGTTAGATGATCAGCCAGATAAGTTGACCCACTGAGCGAAATCAAAGAGCCGACCCATTAAATTCCCTGTGAATCGGATTATTTCGAGCGGCATGTATGCTTAAAAGCTTGTTTTTTATGGACTTCAGAATTCCTGCTGCTCTCATCTTCTAGTGGTTTGTTTGATCGGGCTCACCTACTGAAAAGACCTTTTAATGGCTTTACAGTCTCTTCTCATTCTATCGACCAAAACAAGGTTTCACAATTCAGCTATATAAATGCTGAGTTTATTGACTCCGTCTATTCTAGAACATCGACTACGGCAACAAATATATAAACATTACAGGAGACAGTTACTTAAAATGACAGAGGGCTCGATGAATGTGACTGGTTGTCGACGTTTGGGAAACATGGTTTAATAAGAGCTCTCATCGGTCCTTCCCTATGAGGGCCAGAAATTCACTTCGATACTTCCGATCCTCTTTAAATTGGCCCAGCATCGTGCTGGTAACGGTGACAGCATTGATTTTCTGAACACCACGCATAACCATGCACATATGCGTCGCCTCGATAACCACGCCGACTCCTGCTGGCTGAATGACTTCCGCTAGCGCCATCGCAATCTGTTTGGTCAGTCGTTCCTGAACCTGCAATCGACGTGAGAAAACTTCCACGATGCGCGCCAGTTTACTCAGTCCCAGGACCTTGCCGTTTGGCAGATAACCGATTGAAACCCGGCCAACAAACGGCACCAAGTGGTGTTCACACATGGAGAACATTTCGATATCCCTCACTACCACCATTTCTTCGTGATTCTCATCGAAGATGGCATCATTCAGGAGATCACATATGCGCTCTTCGTAGCCCTTTGTGAAGTAGAACATAGCACGTGCAGCTCGTTCCGGAGTCTTGATCAGCCCCTCTCGATCAGGGTCTTCTCCGACACAGGAGAGGACATCCCTGTAGACGGCCGTGAGGAGACTGAATCGATCCAACTGCTTCAGGGTGGGATCCGTGTCCCTCTGGACGTCTGCAACCTTCAAATTGGCAGACTCCAAAGGTCTATTCTTCACATTATTCTCTCCTGGCCCGTCTCCTGACTCGGCCATAGGGGGGTTTTCGTCTTGTCGACAGTCGTCTGAGGAAGCCCGATCTCGGCCGAGTTTCACGCTAGAATCATCATCATCATCATCATTACCAGCCTCCATGTTGTTCTCCTCCGCGTCACTGCACATATCAATGGGAGAGTCGGAAGTTAGGCTCTCAAGACTGGATTTGCCGTAGTCGCTGACAGAAGAGTTGAGTCGACAGTTTTGACTGCGTTCATAGTCCGATGTACCGGATGTTTGGCGGTAAAACTGTGAAGCCTGCCGGCTCCCCTCAGCGCTGGTGTTGTTGTACTTTCCATCCCGATGAACAGCCTCTGTGAGGCCATTGAGCCTTTGTCGACTGCTGCTGCTACAACTGGTGGTGGAATCGCAACGGCGCCAGAGCTGAGTCTTCACCAGCCCATTCTGCAACTGGCGTCGCTCACGCAGTGGCATCTCATGCAGTAGACTGTGTGTCGTCCAATTTCGCAATTGGTTCTGTCGCGGGGCAGTCTGCCTGACACTTCCTTTGTCGTCGAGGGAGAGACTAGTTACCGCGCTGTCGCCCGAAGCAGCCCCAACGTTGAATTCGCTCGGAACGGCCTCACTACCCAGACTGGAGTCGGGATGCAGGGAGGCGTAATCATGTGACATGTTGAGCACGTGAGAAACGGAGTAACGCAGCATGGATCGGTATAGATTTTGTGATCACGTGAGGTTTCTTTGACTCGATACTGACAAGGCCTCTAAAGCAAGAACAAAAGGACGTTGTGTTAAGTGACAACCAAACAGAAGCTGGAAAGGTTTCGGGGAGTCTGTTTCAATCAGAGAGAAGGAGTGTGAAGTTCAAACGTGTTTGCATCATAAAAGCACAGTAAACAGAACGATCAGGTTTGTAGATCGGAAAAAGCACGATTCTGAAGTTACTGTTGGCAGTCTCCGGAGATTTTTATCTAACTACCTTTTTAAACCTGCACTTTACCTGACGGAGAGATTCTGAAATATTTTATGCCTAATAGTAGGGCTGGTCCTACATTTTCTGTTAGGCTAAGTTACTGGAGATGACAGACGTGTGAACTCTATGCTATTCAAAGTTGGCGCCTAAGTCAGGACATTCCACTCACTTAAACTACATAGTAATTTCCTCAGGTGGAGACTGGAATACTCAATTCTGGCTTACTAGTGGTCGTCAGCCGACATGAATCAGCCGGGGTTTGTTGCCCTGCCGGAACCGCGAACCCGCGTTCTTTGGCGTTCAAACGTTATTACAGTAGGTGGGCTAACTCATGAAATGTTATCGAAATGCGGTTTCGTTTCGAAAATATCAATTAAGTAGCGTTGTAAAACTAGTCAGCCTGTTACATAATTCTTTAATATTTCAGTTGCCTCAGGATGCCGGCCTTTGAATGAATTTCCTTCCGGCTGCAGGCAAAAACTACACTTTTTAAAATATGACTACTTATGTAGCTTCATTTTTTCTCAATGATTTTCGATGCCCTTAAAAGTTTAATTATATTTCATGGAAAGCAGGCAGAAAATTATTCATTCTATTACTCATTTGTTAGATAATTACCTATTCTTCTAATGTTATACTCAAAGGAGGGACATAATTAGGTTTTAAAAAAGTTTCTAATTTTTGGACTTTTAAATACTGTGAAATGACCGTTCATAAATCGTCATATCTCTGCATTTACTAATGTGGCTTGTAAAGTTAACTATATTGACCACATCCACTGCTTAATTTTATGAATCCTATATGGTTCCTCTTTATTAGAGTAGAGAAATGTGTGGTTTTCCGTACGCTAAAAATATACGGCTTGTAGATTGGAAACCCTGAACGCAAGTGTGACGGTAGAGCGGGGTCAAAATTATTCGGGAATTGGAAAACTTTTTTAAAACCGAATTATGTCCCTCCTTTGAGTATAAAATTAGAAGAAGACGCAATTATCTACCGAATGAGCAATAGAATGAATAATTTTCTGCCTGCTTTCCATGAAATATAATTGGACTTTTAGGGACATCGAAAATCATTGAGAAAAAATCAAGCTACATAAGTAGTCATTTTTTACAGAGTGCAGCTTTTGCATGCAGTCGAAAAGAAGTTCATTCTAAAGCCGGCATCTCGAGGTAACTGGGATATTATAGAGTTATGTTTCAGGCTGACTAGTTTTACAACGCTAATTAATTAATATTTTCGAAACGAAAACGAATTTCGGAACTTCGGTTGACACTTCATGAGTTAGCCCTCCTACTGTAGAATGCAAAATGTCCACGGCGCACTTACGAAAGACACTAGTATTGAAACCGATGAAACGGCGGATTGCGGGTCTGTGAGGATAACGGATTGTCACCGGTTTTCATGATTCACCAGGTTCAAGAGGTGGCATCAGTAGGTCAAGTTTTTATGGTTAGATCGCAGTTGGTAGCCAGGAATGGGAAGCAAACAGCCAGGTCCCTGTCGTACGGGAATGTTGGGAGAGGGCGTTATATGGGTGGGGTAAATAGGAGGGCTGGTAGAGGAATGCTGGAATTTCTGGGTAAAAGTAAACTTAACAGGGAAAGTGCTGGAAGTTTTAAGTAGGCGGAATAATGGCAGAAATTTAAGCCCTACGCTTTACCTTAAAATCCACCTATGACCGCAACTGTAAAGCCTAACCCTAAGCCTCAAAAACTAAACGTAACTAAAATCCCAAACCCACCGCTAACCCAAGACCTAGCCATAACCCTAATCCTAACCATGACCTAAAAGCTCAACCCCCACCTTAACCTCAACCCTAACACTAACCTCAAGCCCAACCCTAACCCTAACCTTAGCCCTAACCCTAAACTCAAGCCTAACCCTAACCCTAACATTAACTTTAATCCTAACCCTAACGGGAACCTAAACCCTAACCCTAACACTGAAACCTGATCCTAAAACACAGACCCTAATCCTAAAACTCAACCTACACCTAACTCTAACCCTCACTAAACCCAACAGCCTGACCGAAACGGTCGACTTGCTTAACTCCGTAAGAGCACAGCTACTGATAACGAGTTCCCTAGACAAGGTAAGCGCATCTACTGATAACAAGTACGTACGTCGGCAGTATCAACGTATAATGACTGGCTACCAACTGCGATCTTACCGTTTTTTACGTTTCTGGTTGAATGTCAGGCCTCAAAAGCTCAAGTGTTGCAAATCCCGTTCTATTCGCGGAATAACTAACTCACAAAATACACTGCTGTTCCCGTTTCAAAGTTATGATGTGATTTTGAGGCGTTGCTACGACTTTATGATACTGGATAGTAAACAGGTACTATCTGTACTCCTGATTTTGACAGTCTTTCTAAGTAAAATTTCTTTTCAATTTCAATGGCAAACTTGCGCATTCATTAACCAGTTCGCATTTTTCCGGATTTTCAATAGGTAACCAATTTCATGAGAAGACGAATATTCGAGTTCCGGCTGTATATATGAGGAAGAAAAGTGAGGAAGACTGGTCGTTTATTTAATCGCTGAAAGTTCGAACTCCTGCAGGCGTACATCTTCAGAGATGACAGAAACAACAGAATAAACAACGGTTACAGGGAGTATTTGCCAATCAGCGATTAGAGACGCAGATCCAGACATACTCAAACACAACTTCAAACTCTACAGCGTTGGCTGGTTATATTTTCAGGTTCGTTTCAGTAAGTTGGCAGAAAATATTCCTCTGTGGACATGCCACTACTGAAACCTGGATTCTGAGTTACTTAACATGTAACTGTATTTCTTATTTCTGCTTAGAAGAGGAGGCGTCCAGCACAACAAAGTGAATTTGCTTGAGACATAGCCTCTGGCCGGAGTCCCAATGACTAATAGTATACAGCTCCAGAAAGTTTAAAAATTGTCTTCGGAGAAAAAGTTGGTGTATATAAGTCCTATCGTTAGTCTGACTGTAGTGGCATTTGCATTTGAGTTGCTGGTTTGTTCCCCGAAGTGGGTCTATCAAATATGCTCCACAATACATGGATTGGAACAGATTTGGCCTTTTCAGTTTCAACTAAATCCATTTAATGCCTTTTTTCACAACACTCTGAAACCTTACATTATGAGTAAGGGAACAGTAAGGGGGGGCAGGATTCACTTTTTCTACTTCGTCAGGAGCCCAATGCCAGCATCTGTAGTACGCCCTCCCATTGGAACACTGAACCAATCCACTCGTCTTCCGGTCATTTTGATACACTGTGCGCTGCATGAAACCTCACCGCCTCATCTCAAGGCTCTTTAAATCGACAGTTAGGGAGACGGTTCCCGCTTGAATCCCGTTTTTCAGCTATAATATTTCAACTGCGCTTTTAGGCCATCACGGTGGATTAGCGGCCGTGGCTTGCAAGGTTGCCAACTAAAGAGATAATTTGGTCTGAGGACCATCATGCAGCGACTCGTTCTTAGTTTAGACATTATGACACTGACTGCTTTTACCCCTCCCCCTCCCCGACATTCCCACACCCCGCTTGTGTTTTAAGGAAAAGTTTTATCTATTTCTCTTATCGCTGACATGTTTTACTTTTACCCCGTTTCCATATAACTGTACTGGCCCAACGAGAATTTATCGAAAGCCACGTATGCTCGCCATCTCGTCTTCTCAGTATGACATTGTTCGGTCATGTGTGATCCCATATCTCTTTTTCAGGATTGATTGAGTGCGGTTAGAAATCTGTACACGTATGGAGGACGTAGACTTGGCTTCGCCCATCCTTCACTGCGCCCCCGTCCACCTGTAGTCGCTTCGACTCTGTCTTTGAAAAGAAAGACCGTTGAGAGAGGATGAGTTGTACAGTCACATGAATTGCCTTATTTCTAAGCACATTTACCCACAAGTTTCCCTACTGACCTCTTTGGGATGTTAGACACCCTCGTGCTTTGCGACGGAAGAAATTATGTGTCGGCTGATGGACGCTAACGCACTGCCCATGTAAATTCAGAATGCTGACTAGCGGCGCTCAATCATAATTGGACTAAAACGTGATGTTATTTTCACACATGACTGGAACGTCCGATTGCAGTCTCCCAAATGCGTATATCGATGTGAATTTCCCTTCTCGCGCTAGACATTCATTGCCGGTTAATCCGCTAGAATGGCTGTGTTAGAACTCATTCAAGAGGTAAACACGCACTTGACAATCCCGGGCTCTAGGACGGGCTCTTGCAAGGGTGTTGCTAGCAAGTTTCAGGTTCCATCTATCGACCGAAGGTATAACGTGATGACTCATGGGGATTAAAGGCTTTTGGTTCCTCTCAGAGGCCCACAATCCCCCATTTCACCTTTACTGACCATCCATGCAATACACAGCCTGGATGTCTCCATTCGGTGAGATAACCCGTCGCCTCCCGGTCATTTCTAATGGTGCCACTTTGGCCGTAATTGTATCGAAATTTAGTCTTTCCTTGCCTTCCATAGCGGGTGTTGGCGACCTTTAATGCCAATTGTTCGTTTGTTCGGGCTAGACTTTGACGATCAATATTATATGTGGGACTTTAAATTGCAAGAAATTATATCTCCTATACAAGGCTGTAAGCGATATTTAAATTTTTGTCGGTTAGTGGAGTCTGTTTGTTACTTCAAAGGCATAATAGCATGGCTCAGTCTTATGCATATGCACATGAAGCTTATTCGACTTTTAAACAGCATATACATATTTTGGTTGATGACTAGTTTCCA